AGGTCAGACGGTTTCTACGAACTGAAACCGGCTGATGAATGAGGCTAGGTCCATGGCTCTTTTGTTCACTATTTATGTAGTTTTAACTAATGCATCTCTACAGAAGCATTAGGAAAACTGCCCTTATAGAATACCAATGTCCATTGTTTATTGTTCTCTGCATTTGACCCATTCATCAGTATCACATTGGACTATTCTCAGTATTCTTTTGAAGAAGAGAGTGAAGTAAAATGCACTTATTAAGTCAAATAAGAAATAAAAACATATAAATTAACTAGATCATTTAGATTGAGCGTAAAACGAAATTGAACTGGGTTGAAGTTCAGGATGTAACAATAACCAAAATATCGTAATATCATATCGTCAAAGGTCTAAAAAACAGAAGGAACTACATAGACCATGATCCTTTGCTCCATTTCAGCGGAGACTACATGAAGAAATGACTGTTCTAAGCACTTTAAAGTCTTAGTTCTTTGGGTTAAGGCATTGTAAGAGGAAAATATTGCAACAAATATCGTACCGTGAGATGCATATCGTGAAAATAACGTACCGAGAGATTTGGATATCGTTACATTCCTAGTTAAAATGAGTCAAATGTCCGACATATTTTGAAACTGAGTCATTTAACTTATGTAATTTTCATTTGATAGTACAGTTTGGAATCCGTCAGACCCTGGACGACGGTTGTGTAACTCGTTGTAACTGGACTCCGTGCGTTTCTCTGCTCGTGTGCGCTGTTCTTTGTGTCCTTTGTGTTCTGAAAACACCACATCAATACAGTGCGCTGTTCAAAGGGAGCACTGGAGGGTTCACGTCTCAGGCCACTCTCCCTTATAGATTTGCGCTAAAAACTGCTCATAGAATAATTACTTACATCCGAGTCCTAAGATTACACGGTATAGTAGGTCACAAAGAAGTCAGCCATAGCCCATACATCTATAGCTTCATATCATTTACCGTAAATCCTTTAAAAGTACAAATACTTTAAAGCAGGCTGTCCCCAGGTTTGACGACCCCAAATTTAAGACTTTTTTTTACAGTTACTTTGTTGAAATAAATGGATTACATGGTGGTATGTTCCTGTTTTCACATTTTGGGCTAATCCAGGACTAAACTAGGATTAAAACCAGGACTAAACTAGGACTAAAAGCAAGACTAAACCAGGTTTAAAAGCAGGACTAAACCAGGTCTAAAACCAGGACTAAACTGGGTCTAAAAGCAGGACTAAAACCAGGACTAAACTAGGATTAAAACCAGGACTAATCTAGGACTAAACTAGAACTAAAACCAGGACCAAAACCAGGACTAAACCAGGACTAAACCAGGTCTAAAAACGGGACTAAACAGGACTAAAACTAGGACTAAACTAGGACTAAAACCAGGACTAAACTAGGACTAAACCCAGGACTAAACTAGTATTAAAACCAGGACTAAACTAGGACTAATCTAGAACTAAAACCAGGACCAAAATCAGGACTAAACCAGGACTAAAACCAGGACTAAACTAGGACTAAAACCAGGACTAAACTAGGATTAAAACTAGGACTAAACTAGGATTAAACTAGAACTAAAACCAGGACTAAACTAGAACTAAAACCAGGACTAAACTAGGACTAAACTAGGACTAAACCAGGTCTAAAACCAGGACTAAACAGGATTAAAACTAGGACTAAACTAGGATTAAAAGGAACTAAAACCAGGACTAAACTAGAACTAAATCCAGGAACAAAACCAGGACTAAACCAGGTCTAAAAGCAGGACTAAACAGGACTAAACTAGGAGTAAAACCAGGTCTAAACAATATGACACTAACAGTAGGTTGGACATTATTTCAGGCAGCAGTGATCTCATATATAAATCATTTCTCTATCAATAATATTTTTAATATGTTTAAGACTGGGCTTTTTATTGTCTTTTACAAACAAAACTTCTTAAAATGTCCTAGTCTTTTTCTCCTCTACAGTAAACAAAAGTCTGTTCATGGAGATTTGGGCTCAACAGACAATTTGAAAAGAACAAACATGAATTTTCAGGATGTGGTCGCTACGTTCATGTAGTTTTAAAAAGCATAACAATGTCAAGTAATCCAAAGTATTCAGATTACGTTACTCACTTTAAGTAATTTAATGGATTACGTTACAAACTACATTTTGGGATATGTAATCTGTAATCTGTAGGGGAATACATTTTAAAAGTAATCTTCCCAACACTGCTAACTACAATATCTAGAATCTAAGAGCCATGATCCATCTAACGTCTTCCTTCACTCTACTGACTGTTTACTCATTGTCGCCGGCGCCAGAAACCAAAGTATTGTTTGCGCATACTCCAAATTAGACGTTCATTCATGTTATGTGATTTCACATTGTTGTTTTTTTTTTTTTCCTCCCTCCGTTTAACGTTGCGCTGCAGCCTGGTTGAGTTTACAAAAAATTGGCTAATGAAATTTAAGACTTTTGTGAAAAAAAATAAGACTTGGACAACATAATTTAAGACTTTTTAAAGCCTTAATTTAGAAACATGAAATTTAAGACCTTTTTAAGACTGTTAAGACCCCGTGGCTACCTGGTTAAAGACTTACATTTAGATTGTCGTCTTGGTTTGAGTCATTTTCATGAGTGAAACTTAAATTTATTGTCTTCATTTGATCAGGTATCAATAGGGATGTAACAATAACTGAAATATAGTGATATCGTATCGTCAAAGTTCTCACAATAATATCGTGGAGCATCAAAATATATCGAATTACAAGTCTCTTTGCTTGAATTAAGAGTTATGGTGCAGCAATAGCTAACAGAACTACATAGACCATGATGCTTTGCTCCATTGCAGTGCAGATTACAAGAAGAAATAACAGTTCTAAGCACTTTTAAGTCTTAGTTCTTTGGGTTAAGTCTTGCCAAGGCATTTTAAGAAGAAAAAGTAGCATATTAACAGTTTTGTTAATATCGCAATAAATATCGTACCGTGAGATGTATATCGTGAAAATATTGTACCGAGAGTTTTGGATATTGTTACATCCCTAATCGTGAGCTTTCCCACGATATCGCAATTAATATCGTACCATGAGATTCATACCGTGACGATATCGTATTGTGAGACTTTAATATCGTTACACCCCTAGGGATCAAGATAATTTTATTTTATTTTAAGCTAGATCATACCAGTGGAGAAGGCAAGACACACCAAGTAAACTCAACCTGCATATATTAGCAACTTGAGTTATTTGTGCAGTTAAGAAAATAAAAAAGTAAAGATTTCTAACAATACAGAATAGAGTGAGAATCGAGTGAGTGTTTTAGTGGTTTATATTGTTGTATTGACTGAGATTTGCCTCATGATAGATCTCCAGAGACCAACCGAGACGAGACTAAAGAAAAGGAGCCCCAGGCTGAGTGGAGGTTTGGGAGCAGGAGACAGGAGACACACAGAAAAGGTCAAAACACCAAAAAAAACAAAAAAAAAAACAGTCAAAGCCCTTGAGTTGTAGTCCATAGATCTAAAAGACAGAAAGCCACAGCAACGTAAGAGTTTAAAATGACTAAATATTTTTGGAATAAGGCTGCGTTTATATGATGACGGTCTGAACAGAAGACGAGCGTTTTTGGGAGGAAATCTGCGTGCATACGGTGACGCAAAAGTGTGTGGAATTCAATCGATTTCGCTTGCAATTAAAGCATCAAGGGCGTCTTTGGACATTAGGAAATTTTCATGCCGCGGATTTTCATCAGCTCCTCCTTCCACAAAGTTGTCCCACCATCGACTGGTTCTCCAGGTCTCGTCCATATCCGTCTGACTCGCCTGCGACGAACTGGTGCATCCAGAATTTGACAGAGGTGATTGTAGATCCTTCTCTGTTCACTAATAGTACCTCTGCAGATTCTGTACATTTGTTGGGATTTGTTTCTGTGTACTGTATGCAAACGTGTACGTGACCTGAGCAGAACCTGACCAGAGTTTTGTGTCTTGGGCAGTGTAGACGGAAACTCTACCGTGGAGCATATTCAGCTTTTCCACTCTGGAGCTTGGTTTCAGATTTTTGCATTTTTAAGCCCCAAAAATGCCGTCACCATCTAAACAAAAGGCACTTCTGAGCAAATATTTTGTAATTTTTACCCACAAGCATTTTTGTGTAAACAGGCCCTAAAATAACACTGATACCTTACATGGCACGGTGGTTGAGTGGCTATAGCACATACGCTTCACAGCAAGAAGGTTCCAGGTTCTATCTCAGGCTGCTTGGGCATTTCTGTGCGGCGTTTGCATGTTCTTCCTGTGTCTGGGTGGATTTCTTACCCACCAAATCTATTATTACACCAGACTGTCGATGTGAATGTCTGTGTTGTTAGAATAATTTTAGAAGTAAAACCAACCTTACATTTGAAGGATTTGTATCTGAGCAGCAGTGAGTTGTACTTTGATAAAAAGCTCGGCAGCGGCGGACTGATATATGAGAAAATAGTTCCTCAACATGCAACGGTTCATGTGATGCAAGGTTAGATTTATTTCAAACATTATTCTGTCGACACAGACATTTACATTGACAGTCTGGTGTAATAATAGATTTGCGTCAGGTGTTTTGTGGAGTGGGTAAGAATAACTATGGCCATTGACACCAGCGTCCTCTGCAAATACAAGGACTGGATGGAATATTTAAAAAAGTGTCTCCACACGTCTCCAACACTCTGGCTCACTAGGAAATGAGGTCCTATGTCCAAAATTCCAAACTGTCCCTTTAAGCCTTTTACGGGCGTGTCGAATCCTCTCAAATCGATAAGAAATTATTAACTCCTGCCAATCTGCACCATCTGCTCCTGCGACCAACACTCACGCACATCACATTCGTACTAGGTAATGTGGGTTAAGTGTTTTGCCTAAGGACACAACAGCAATTTAAAAATTCAGACCTACTTTAAATAAATCTAAACTCAACAGCTATTCAAACAGAAATATTGAGAATTTACAAACTCCGGTGTTGCCTATGAAAGGATTACCCAAGATTTAGAAACAAGTCAAAATAGATATTGTTTATTTACATTTTGCAAAATACAGGCTTATTTTTCAGCAATGGTTGAGTATTTTTCAGAAATACGAACAGTAAAAAGCCTCTGGTAAAAGAAACAGTAACAGTGTATCGAGTTTGATGTCTGCAAAGCCCACCGTAGGGTTCTGTTATATAAGGGAGAGTCCAATGTTAATCCTAAATCAGCACTGCAAAAAAGAAACATCAACAAGTTTTATAAGTTTATAAGTCTCCCCTCTCTTTGCTCCCCGTGCTAAGTCACTCCCCTCTTCAGAGAACAATCAGAGTGTGTTCAGCTAATGAGACTACTACAAATCAAATCAGGTTTGTCAAGTTGTTGTGTACAGTTTTTTATGTTGCTTTTGTATATTTATGGAGAATCAGAGTCCTGCACTGGGTCGGGTAAATAGTTGCTGAAACGGGTGGGTTTTAACGCTAAGGAATTTCGCGGGCGGGTAGCAATTATGCACAGACGGGTCAAGACTAAACCAAGACTACACCAGGTCTAATCCAGGTCTAAACCAGGACTAATCTTGGATTTATGCGAGAGAGAACCCCGAGCCTTTGGAGCAGGGTGTCTGCAAAACGCGATTGGGTGACGGTTGCTCTTACCTCATGAGGCGCGGAGCTCTGCGCTGGTCCTTTCCCTTGCGGTCACCCAACAGTCTACATGGGCGCACCTCTGAGCCTGTCCCAACAGTGAGTCCTGGCTCACTTCTGGTTTAGTCCTATTTTCGTCTTGTTTTAGTTCTGTTTTAGTCCTTGTTCAGTCCTGGTTCGGTCCGTGGCGTGTGCGTCGCAAAAGTCCGGCATCTCGATCAGTGTTTCTTCTGCTCAGTGAATAAAGCCTGTGAAGTGACGACAGTCAAGTCGCGTCTGTGAATTCATATTCGTACTGAAGAAAGCATAACCGTTTCATTTCATTTCGTGATTGTGATTCTTAAAGTAGTAACTTTTCAATTCATAGTCTGACGGGTGCGGGCGGGTACAAGTCTCCAAAAATGGACCTGTGCAGGACTCTGTGGAGAACTGTTGTGGGGATGAAGGTTTGTGGTTGGAGCATTGGACAGAGTCTTATGCCTAATCGTAAGGAGGGTTGGGAGAGATCACTAAATTGCTCAAACATGCAGGATGACATAAAACCTCTTCAGGCATGTTTTTGATGAGGAAACAACGTAAACATGGTAGAAAGCTAAAACAGAAATGGTCAAAAGTCACATTTTTATATCGCACTTTGCCTCCTTCAAGGCACTCAAGTGCAAAATGCATAAAACTCCCTCTTAATTTTACAAAGACATTCCTTTTTTGCAGTGCAGTTGACAGCGTTGCGTATAATTGTTGTTTTAAAAGCGGCTTCAAATGAAAAAATGTTGCAAAATTAAGCCTGGCGAAATCCCACAACTTAATTTTGTTTGTGGCACATGGTATAATTTTGAAAAGTGACGATTTTCTCGACAAGGCAGCGAAACATGTTCATATTTTCTTATCATATTGCTTAACCCAGAGTTGCTTTTAGCCGAAGCCTAACGCGTTCTCCTCAGTCACTAAAGTGCAACTGGAGACTTCCTGATACCGCCCGTGAGGAGGTGGTCTTCACACACACTGTAAAAAACACAACCTACATGGGGTAAAATGACTTGTATTTTCAATGTTAATCTTGTTTTGAGAAGAAGAGTAAATTATTATAAGAACTGCAGTTATGTTTTCAAGATTTAGCTTTAAATAAGAGCAATTTTCTCCCCAATTGCTGGGTTTCATAAGGCAACGCAATATTTTAAAATCCCAAAAGAAGTAGGCCTGTCGTCATAATTACTACGTCAACTTATTGTTGAGTTAAAACTTTGCAACTCTGCTCTGGCTGAAGTTCTCTTACTCAATCTGAGCTTTATTTTAACACAATCTAACCAGAAATATCTGACTTAGTTGGAACTACAATAGGGGAGCTAATAAGTGCTATTAAACACAAGTCACATATAAAATTCACAAATCACTCACATTATTGTTGAAAATCAAACACCTAAACAGAACCATGAATTGCTCGTATTAATTACAGGCTCCTAAAGATGTTTTGTTTAATCTCATTTTCTATTTTTTCAGGCTATGTTAGAACTTTTTGGACTCGTGTCTGCATTTTGTCTTACTCTGTTTTACTGTGACAGGCCTAGAAGGAAGGCAGAGAAATGACTAAAATGTGTGCTGATAATTATTCATAATAGGCCACAGCGAAAACTGGATCTTGGTGCGATTATGACATCTTCAGCACATGAAAGTCACCAGTTGGCATTTTAATTAATCTGGAGCTAAATACTCAAACAGAAAATTCCTTAAAATCCCCTGTAGCATGATCTACATCAAATTAAGTAAATAAATAATATCAAATCAAGATTAATACGTTGAATTGAAGTCATTTTAACTCCCGTAGATGTTTTTGCAGTGCACACCTCCAGCGAAGCGTCTAAAGCAGGTCCTCGTGTGTCCTCAGCTGTCTGCAGGCCCTTGTGTGTGAGCTGTCAGTGCTGTCCGTTACACTGGTCTCTCCACGTCCTCTGCAGCTGCTGCAGGTGCTCGAAGGCCCTCTGAGTGATGTTCAGAGCCGGGTGGACCTTCCTCAGACTCGGCTCTCCGATCAGGGCCAGGCCACAGATGCCCAGGTACGCGTGGAGAGGGTCTGCAACAACATACAGACATAAATATATTACTTTAAAGTACTTAAAATTACAAGTGAAACTGTTTTATTAGGCAATATGTCAGATTAAGTCACTGAGAAAATAAAGTTACATATTCACCTCTCAAGTCTAACTTAGCCTGATGTTGATGTTAAAGGCATGTATAGTAGTAGTAGTAGTAGTAATAGTAATAGTAGGCTATACAGTCGATTTATTTCATTTCATCTTCAGTGGATTATTTCATTTTATCTTCTTTGAGGCATCTTCAAATATCAGCCTTTTGTAGACTGTTCTGAAGCACTAACCACTTAAGAATTAAGCCTCAACAATATTAATATGAGGAGACTGCGGCGCTAAATCCTAACAAAAACATTTGTGGGTTTTGTAAGTGAGATTTCATAAAATATCTGAACATGAACAAAACTAACTTCTAGGGAGGTAACGATATCCAAATCTCTTGGTATGATATTTTCACGACATACATTTCACGGTACGATATTTATTTCGATATTTTGTGGACTAGTACGCTACTTTTTCCTCTGACAAGACTGAATCCAAAGAACTAAGACTTAAAAGTGCTTAGAACAGTTATTTCTTCATGTAGTCTGCACTGAAATGGAGTAAAGGATCATGGTCTTTGTAGTTCCCTTTGTCTTTTTTTAGCTTATGCTGCACCATAACTCTTACCGTATTTTCCACACTACAGGGTGCGCTCTTAAGGATCTAACCCCATCAAAAAACGACTGCACGCCCCACATTCCAGAGCGCCCTATACACGAATCCACTCGGGTGTCCCAGTACAACTTCAGTAAACTACAAAGCCGCATCACCCGCAGTGCACGCAAACACACACGGAGCAGACAGCGACCGCGTGGCAAAAAACACCCACAGCCACACTCATCACTCCACGCCGACGAGGAACGGAACGGAGGAACGAACTGAAAAAGCGAGTGCAATGTGCCACTTCTAGACACGACTGAACAACTGAGTCACTGTGAACACGCCGACAATCCGTTGGTCCCAGACAGCACCCTCCCTACACGCCACAACTGAACATAGCCCAGAGTCACCGTGAACACGACAAACAAAGTTCCACTGACCCATCACACTGTTGTGTTTCGTCTGGTGCGGTTTATATGTGAAAAATGTTCGAAAATAGACAATTTAATGATCAAAGAGCAAAGAGACTTGTGATTCGATATATTGTGATGGTCCGCAATATTATTGTGACAAATTTGACGATACCATATCACGATATTTCGGTTATGGTTACATCCCTACTAATTTCTGTATAATATCATGACCAGACAATATATAAGACGTACGGCTACACAGTTTGGGGGAAAAGGGCATTTTTTCTAGTATGGTTAACCAATATGTTTATTCTGTTGAGTTAAGACTGAAATATGAATGTCTAAACTAATACAATATTCTCCTGTATTTAAGAACATGTTCGTAGAGATTGAAGGTTTCATGTCACAGATTAAAAAATATATTATTTTGTTAAATAATAGTGATCTTTGTGATTTCTCTTTTGCGCCCGTTCAACACTGGATGGTAATTACAATTATTCCCACAGCCATGAGTGGTTCTATTGTTTCCGCATTGTGTTAGTTTTACTGCGCTGGCCCTTTAAGGACATATAAATAATGTAAACCAGAGGCATGCCTTATGGAAACTGCCCTCCCCTGGGGCCTGAGTAAAAGCACTGAAGCCCCAAAATGGCCGACTGATTGAATTATAATGAAATGACAGCTGATTGTATGTGCACATTAATATCACTCAGAAAACCATTAGCCCATAGACCGAGCGCCACGGAAACTACTCTGAGTCAAGGAGACACGAGGCAGGGCAGACTGTTGTTGATCTATAGAATCAATATAAACAGTTAACATAGAGCAGAGGCAAGGACATGTACAGAATATTTATAATCACGTTTAGTTTTTATATATGGGTTGAATTCAGTCGTCACACACAGATCCAACTCTTCAGAAAGTGTACTGTAAAGCAAATCTCTGTGCCAAAAAACACCACTACACACTAGGGATGTAACAATAACCGAAATGCCGTGATATCGTATCGTCAAAAGTGCTCAAAATAATATCGTGGACCTTCACAATATATCGAATTACAAGTCTCTTGGCTTAAATTCATTGTTGTGATGCAGCAAGTCAAAAAAAGAGAAAAGAACTACATAGACCATAATGCTTTGCTCTGTTTAAGTGAAGGAATAACTGCTAATAGTAACAATATTTTTTTGAATGTTAGTTCTTTGGATGATGACAGAACCAAAGTCTTGTGAAGGCATTTAAAAAGCAAAAGTAGCATACTGTATTTTCCACACTATAGGGTGTGCTCTTAAGGTTCCAACCCCATTAAAAAACGACTGCGTTCCCCACAGTCCAGAGCGCCCTATACACAAATCCACTCCGGTGTCCCAGCACGACTTCATTAAACTACAAAGCCGCACTACCTGCAGTGCACGCAAACACACACGGAGCAGACAGCGACCGCGCAGAGAAAAACACCCACAGCCACACTCATCACTCCACGACGACGAGGAATGGAATGGAGGAACGAACCGAAAAAGCGAGTGCAATGTTCCGCTTCTAGACACGATTGAACAACTGAGTCACTGCGAACACGCCGACAATCCAGCGGCCCCAGACAGCACCCTCCCTACACGCCACAACTGAACAAAGCCCAGAGTCACCGTGAACGCCACAAACAAAGTCCCAAGTTTCGTTTAAAGTCCGGTGTGGTTTATTTGTGACAAAGGTAAAAAAATAGACCATTCAGTGACAGTGCGCCTGATAATCCTGAGCACCCTATAGTGTGGAAAATACGGTATTCACAATAATGTTCTTGCCTTCACCAAAGATGATAATGAATAATAAATATTCTACTGTGAGATGTATATTGTGAAAATATCATACCGAGAAATTTGGATATCGTTACATCACTACTACACTCTGCCTTCATCTGTATTTCTAAAACATTTTTTAAATATTTATTTATTGCAAACTGAATCCATCAGCCATGTGAGTCACTACATGAGCCTCTGGGGTGAGAGCAGATTGGTTGTGCAGGGGTGGTCCAATCTGCTTCACTTCTTTCTGAAAAAGGTGAGTCATTTTGAAGATACTTGAAGATGCTCTAAGTAAGGAGACAAACAATGGCAATCTAGAAACAGAAATTGGATTAAAGAATTGGATTAAAATAAATGAATTTGGCTTTAAAATTGGAATAAACCACCCACTTACTTTGGAATCAAGTTTAATTCCAAATAATCATTTTAATTAGAAATTAAATGTTTATATGGTCTTTTAAAAGAGGAATTCATTTTTATTCAGAATTAAATAATTTTTATTTGGAATTAAAGCTCATGTAAATGTGGGAACTGTTATCTCTCTGTATTTTTTTTTATACAGATCAGTCTGGTTATTATTTTGAGCTTTGGAGAAGTTATAAGGCATTCCCCCTCTTTCCCGGCTCAAGACCGACTAGTGACCACTTCACTGGTACTGCAGCTCCTGGAGCTTGGGCCCAGAAAGAATTCTCCAATAGAAGCACAATGCATTTTTTGGGAATTCAAAATGCCCGTGTTCGACTGACAGGGCATCGACAACTTTCAAAAAGGTCGGATTTTGTAGGAACTCTTTTCTATTTTCACAACATAAACTTAAGCACCTAAAATTTTGTTTTGTAAGACTTAGCCTCGCCCCGCCCTGAGCCCGTGCAGTACAGTTAGGCCTGCCCTGATAATTACTGTATTGATTTATCATTCAGTATATATATAAGCTGGAACATTTTGGGACTCTTTATCAAATATACATTTTCTCTGAGCTAGTGAGGACTTTTTAGTTCTTTTTTTAACACTATACAGTTGGAGCAGTTGAAGATCGAACAAGTAACTTCTATGACTGATCATAAATACAAATGAATTAGTGTTTCATTCTTCTTTATTGCAACTCATCTGTTCTTCTTAACAATATTGCCCCTTAGAAGATGTTTTTTGGGGATTCTCCTGCTTTAAAGAGATTTTGTCAGTGGCATAAAAAAGGTTCTGTATTATCATTTATTGGCAATATATCACACTTCAAAATTTTTGATGGTGACAGGCCTATGTACAGTATGGGTAACATTTAGGGTTTCATAATGAACACTCTTCTTAAATACAAATATTATTGAGTTGGATAGATGACACTTTTGAAAGAAAAAATATACACCGTCTCACTTTAGTTGGGTTTGATCCTTTATTGCACACTTGTTTTACATCTGCATATATCATAGACATACTTCTTTCATGCACACACAAGATTATTATCAGATTTTTGGAGTTCTAAGATTAATATGATGCATGATTTTGCTCTTTGCCTTAGTCAATCTTAAACATCCATAAATGAGATAATAATCAGGTTTTGGTGTGCATCTAAACTTCGCCCATAACGGAGCGCAGGGAACATGGATCTTCTAGGTTATTTTTTCAGTTTCGACTGCTCACTAGCGGTCATACTCAGAGTGGAAGACTTCTGAGGAAACTGTCAGGTATGAAAACATTCTTGGACTGAAAAGTGTTGAGGTGATAATTTGGGCTCATTTGCTTGGAGTTTGGTTGTGCAAATGTTGGTTTGTGTGGTTTAATAGTAGTGAACTCGCAAGTTTTTGGTTTGTCATCCAAGCTGAACTGAAGCAGGGGTCTTTTGAGGGGAGGATTTGACAAAAGTCCACTGGTGTTTCCATGGTGGATCGTGAGCCGTCTGGTGGAGCCGATGGTGTGATCCTGAGTTCTAACACCATACTCTCGAGTACTGGGCCTGGAGCTCGGGGTGCCATGGGACTGGGTGTATGGAGACTGGTATGTGGATCATTCTGAACGCCTTGCTGGTCCAGGATATGAGTGCCCCCCTCTGCTGTTGAAGAGGTCCCCTGTCTCCATGACTTTGGAACTCTGGATGGAGTTGGCGTGTGGCTCCAGGAGAGGAGACATATCTCTAGTCGAACCAGGTTCCTCCATTATATTTTTGGGGAAATTCTGGTATGATTTAAAAGCACTCTCCTCAAGCTCACGGCTCTTCCTCAGCTCCTCTTTGAGAATTTTCTCTTCCTTTTGATAGGTGATAATTTGCTTCTCTAAGGCTCGGATCTTCTCGTGCAGCTGTTGTGTCTCATCTCGCTCTCGTACCAGCTCCTCCGTTAGCGTTTCCCACACATGGATTAAACCAGGCAGGGACCTCAACTTTCCATCTTCTTCTAAATCTTTCATCCTCCTTTCCAGATCATCCACCCTAGCATTCAGAAGGACATTTTGGCTCCTCAGTTCAGAATTTGTTTGCTCCAGCTCATTCACCATCTTCTGAAGCTCACAGTCTTTGGCGGAGTTTTCAGTTTCTCTTTTGAGAACTTCTGCCTGGTGTTTACTGTCCATTTTCTGCAGTTGGAGAGCATGAGACGCCTTCAGCTGCTCCTTTTCATTTGTAAGTTCCTTGAGATGTTTCTCTCTCATCTCACCTATGTTTTTCTGATGATCCTCCCTAAGCTGCTTTAACGTCATCTCCTGTTTGTGCTCCAGCTCTTGACGTTCTGTTTTTAATCGTTCAGCCATCTTTCTGCTGTACTGTTGCAGCATCTCATTGCATTTGGCTTTTCTCTCCTCTTCCATGTCTTGTTGGCAAGAGTTTAGCGTTTCACTGTTGGTTTTCTGGAGTCTTTCCTTTTCTGCAGCCAACTCCTCTTCTAACTGAGCCTGCAGTTGTTCCAGTTTTTGTTTGTTGCAGGTCTTAATTTTCTTTATCATTTTTTCCTGATTTTCTTTTAGTTTTGCTTTGAGGCCCTTAAGGGTGTCATTACTTTCTTTGCTTATGATTTCTTCCTGTCTCTTCAGATCAGTTTGGAGCGTTTCTCTGAGTTCTCTCAGATTCCTCCTTAAGTTTGGCTTCCTCCTCTGTCCGGCTTTCCAACAGTATTCGACGTACATTCTCAAGTCTCTCTCTGTTCTTAGCTATTGGGAAGTGGAGGAAGCAAACTAATTCAGTGCTTGCCATCATTCCGGGTGGATTAACTAAAGAACTTCAGCTGCTAGATGTTGGTGTCAACAAGTCGTTCAAAGTTAAAGTGCGAGCTGTGTGGGAGCAGTGGATGAGAGAAGGCGAACACACATTCACCAAGACAGGAAGACAGCGCCGAGCGACTTACGCCACGGCAATATATCGTGGACGCCTGGGCCTAAGGATCAGTATCAACTGTGGTCCGAGCTTTCACCAAGACCAGAATCATCACTGAACTGTCAGGGAACAGTAACAACACTGACTCGGATAATACGGGAGTGCTGGACGTAATCGCCCAACTGTTTAACTCAGACACTGAAAATGAAGAATTTGAGGGATTTGTGGACGAGGAATGAACTGAAAAAGTGAGTGTAATGTGTTATTTTTAGTTATAATCGAACAATTATGAGTTATTGTGAATACGCCAACAATTTAGCGTCTCAGAAACAGTATATTTTTACGCGTTACAGTTGAACAAAGTTGAGAGTGATTGTGAACACGTTAAATAAAGTTTTGACTGACTTTCAAACTTGACTGAATCCAACTGTTGTGTTTCGTTTAATGCGCCTTATAGTTCGGTGCGGTTTATATGTGATAAAAGTTCGAAAATGGACCATTCAATGACAGTGCGCCTTATAATCCAGAGCGCCCTGCGGAAAATACGGTATGTCCATCTACAAATGAACCACAATACAATCCTTTCCTGGTTCATGTCAATTCAAATTCATTCAAATTCTAGAGTTACAACCAGTGCCTTCTGGTCCCACACAGACTGCACTTAAACATGAATGGCCCCTTTGTGCTGCATTCAAAACCGACTCTCTCTGTCCAAAATAACTCTGCATTGTTCAGAAATATCCACTATCTTTTGTTTGTTTGACGATATTGTACCTTTCCGGCTTGTTCCTGTAACGGGAGAATTGCTACCGCTTGTGTCCTCGGGCTACCCATAACAATCATCTCATCAAATACGCATGACACTAAACGCACACACTGGAGTTTAAAGTTACCGCAGCCTTTCCACTGATCTGCGAGCCAACCTGGCAACCGCAGCCGCACCCTGAGTCCTCTGCACCTGCGGAGGACGGGCAGGGTAGAAACTGGCAGAGATAAAGACGACCAAAACTAGAGATCACGCAGGTTCTGTAAGGCATTTCTGTTGGCGGAGTGTTCAGCAGTTTCCACACGCATAAGCAAACGCAGACAAAGAAGTTTGTCTGAAAATTCAAGAAGAAAATAGAAAATGGATTTAAACAATACATTTTCAGGAAACTATGATCAGCCCAACACTTAATATATATTCATCCTGTTCAAACTCCAGGTATAGAAAAACGCCGTGTCAGTTGAATGTTGATACCTGAGATACTAAAAGCATCGAGAGTTGTACAGGAAATCTCAGGTTAGTGCATGTAACATTTATTCAATTAGTTCAGTCTTTCGCTTTTTCCTGTAATAATAATACCCAGGTAATTGTAGATGGGCTTTGCAACACTGCCCATTTTTACTTTTAACAGTATTAAGCTTTTATGTTAACTGTGATTTTGCGGCAGGCCATTGCATACACTTGTTGTGTCCTTAAGCAAGACACTACACCCGCCTCACCTTTAGTGTCTCTGAATGCTGGTGTATCGTTTTGTGTTTATGAAGGTGAATATGGAACAACAAATGAGTCCGTGTATTCATGCATTTGTTCATTTGTTTTTCAAAATAAAACCAAAAATAAGAAGATGAAAACAACAATTTTCTTCATTATTTGTCTATTATTATCTAAATAATTTGTTTTTTCAGGTTTCAATTTTGTGTTTAAATGAATAATGGAAAAAATGACTTAAACTGCTATGCCGAATTTTTGTGTCGCATATGAACTGAACCAAGACTGAACCAGGACTAAAACAGGACTAGACGTCGTCTAAACCAGGTTCTGGTTTAGGACTGAGAGCGGGACCAGACCGGGACTGAGACAAGGACTGAGCCCGGGACTGAGCCCCGGACTGAGACCCGGACTGAGACCGGTTTAGTCCTGGTTTGGTCCTGGTTTAGACCTGGTTTGGTCCACGTTTAGACCTGGTTTAGACCTGGTTCAGTCCGGCATCGCAGTTTAAGTCATATAAATGGGAAACGGCCGTAATCCGTTTTTTCCATTATTCATTTAAACACAAAATCGAAAACTGAAAAAAACGAATCAAACTCGGCTCTTAACACGCACAGTCCATACCAAATAAACAAATTATCTCTGATATAATCAGCTTTAGTTGCCAGCAAAACAACGCTTATATGGACAGAAAGAGTCAAATAACTAGGATAATCAGATAACACACACCAAAATTCTTATTTACTTATTGGGTTAACAGCAGAAGATCATCAAAAACTCCTAGTGATGTTGTACTTGAAAAACAATTAATTCTAAAATAAGTCTTTCAGTCTTCAATATTTGCTCTGTCATTTCCACATTAGTTTGCCCTTTTTGCATAGTTTTCCTGCAGCGGTGTGAACATTCAGACAGAAATCAGAAAAAACAAATCAGATGTAACTGTTCACATGTCATTTCAATAATCAGATAATCAGATTTTCAGTGAGTTTTGTAAAAAGGTTAGACACGTAGGCAGTACCTGGATGACTGTCGGGCCATTTGGCGAATCCTCCCACCAGCCGGTCCTGAGTGGAGAGGATGAAACTGCGATTCTTCTCAAAGTGAGTGAACTGGAACACGTCCAAGAGCTGCGGCAGAGGAGAGACGGATGCCAACAAGGTGATTCTTTGATGGAGATGAAAATAGGGCTACAAAATCATGCAAGTTTTCAGCAAAAAAGATAAATAAGTTTTTATTGCACTGTGCAATAAAGTAGCTCCACAAACCTGACTACACGGTGACACTTTAACTAACCCTACCCTGTATTAGTTTATCAGTTCATGTTTCAGTCTTCTCTCAAATGTTTTCAAACTGAATAACTTTTTTATAATCACAATCATGTCATAAATTTTTTTTTCTCTCTGTACAGTCACAAACGCAGTACCTCCAGCGTGGCTCCGACCCAGAAGGAGTAGCAGGTGTCCACGGGTTTGTTTGGTCGCCCGTGGAAACCGGTCTGCTGCCTCATGATGCACCAGCGCCGGATCCGGTCCAGCTCCTTATGACTGAGAGCCTCCTCCAGACGCCCCATCAGGCACAGGGAGGCGATGGAGCAGTACGTCCACCCACCTGCAGACAGACGCAAAGGTTTAGTAGAATTACAAATGTTTAAAAAAAAAAAAAAAAGACTTGGAGCTCTATATGAAAAAATATGGAAGGAAAAGAATTGCACCTGAATTTTACTTCATTAAAAGGTGCAATTCCACAGCATGGCATTAAACCTTTCTATCTTCATGGAGACCAAGTTACAGGTCAGATCTGTGGAGAGGCGACACCGCTCACAGTCAGAATGTTTGTTTTTCTAGCTATTTTTGAGCTATAAAACCACCTGTAACTGAATAAATGTAAGGTAGACTGTTTAATGTCATACTGTGGAACATTCCAGGAAGAGCAATGACATCTCCATAGAAACAAGCAGGTGACGGATCCCCAACGAAAAAGTTACATATCGCAAAAAAACAAAACAAAAAACAACTGACGCACAACTCCGGGCGCACTGGGTAGAAGCAATTAGAAGAGATGAATTCAAGATTATTCCCAAGAGAACATACGGTCTTCATTTTACTGCTGATCACATTTACTTCAGTGGGTTTTATCACAGTCTGTCGGCGAGCCCACTGTCCCATTCTCTCAGCGGCAACGTCCCACTCCTCTCTCCCAGTGCCCCCTTCTCTTGGGCGGCACACGGGTACCTGCTGTGCCTGGGAGAGGAGGGACGTTCTTGCTGGACTTTAGTCGGCCATGTCACGCACTGTGTTGTATTAAGTTAGAAAATCTGCTTCTATATCATAATAAAATTAAATGTGAATGTAGTGAGACCAAATGTCGGGCCTTGTTTGTCATTTTATTGATCTTCTCAAAGCGGCACACATTCTTTCAGTATGTCATATCAATATAATCTTCATTTGCTCGCAGATGTTTACTATGAAATCACATTTTATATTTTTATTTTTTCTTCTTTCCCATGTCCTATAGCAACTGTAACTGTTGATTTGGGAAGAAGTATTAATTATTTCCTTACCTGCTACCATGAACATAATTTGTATAAGCAGCACAACACAAGAAACTTATAAAGCTGCAGAATGTGTTAAAAAAAAATCCTTCAGAATCACTTTTAGGAAGGTCTTGACTATGTATTACAAGGGTGTCCAAACTTTTTTCATCAAGGGCCACATATCTAAACACAGACCAAGCAGAGGGCCGATCAAGGGCCACAGACTGGTGCTCAGTGCAGTGAATAATTGAAATATGTGCATGTTTAGCAGGTTAAAATGAGCCGTCAGTCTTTATTTACGCTAAACCACACATGAATATTCAATATTAGTTTTATCAAAGTAGATTTTCAAAAAAACTAAAAAAGTAAATGTTTAATTGATGTAAGGTAATTTGGGCCAAGTCACCTGGAAACCTGAGAAAAATTTGTCCAAGGGCTGCATTTGGCCCATGGGCCGTAGTTTGGACATGCCTGATGTACTACATTGAAATACGTATGATAAAATCCTGAAATAGTTGTGGCACTCACTGTTTTTTTGGGGGGGGTTTATGTATATACAGTAACTAACTTAGATTCACAAACTGTACAATTCAGGGGGATTTCCTTCCAAACGTCGTCCTGGTTTGTGACGTAAGTGTGAATAGAGCCCACTGCAAGGAGAAAATTCAGTTTGTCGACTGGACAAAAGTTTATTTGGTTGAAGACTGTAAACAAGTAGGTGTGTTAGTTTCTGAGTAGTTAGTTAGCTCCTCCATGTAGACAGATATAAGGAAGTGTCACCAGCAATCTAACCAGAACTGAAGAACTGAAGAAGCAGCTTGGATGAGCTGCGAAACGTCTTCAACCAAACTTTTGTTTTGGATTCCTCGCCATGGATTCTACCTGGACGACTGAGGGATTCTTCACACAATAGAGCCCATTGTAATACAGAAATCGTTAGTCTCGAGGCTTTCCCTTCATATCAATATCGAGTATGATCTTGTCTCCACAGCTCTAATAGTTTATCAGTTGGAACAGAAGCCCTCAAATGTTATCATCTTTCCAAATTATAATCTTGTAGATTGATTCTTCCCCCAGATGTCAACGCTACTGTAACGATTATCCGCAGAGCCTTCCATCACCTCCCTCCCTCTTCTCTGTCAACAGCTTTTACGATCTCTGCTCCTCTCAACACATTAAAACCTCCTTATCTGTGTTCAGGCACGTGCGGGGAAACAAACAGGAGCCGGGGCCAAGTGTGTGTGGGCTGCGGGCGTAAATCTGTCCAGATGTTGCTGTGTAATCAACCAATTTAAGATCACTGTCTGTAAAAGGTAAAATCTGAAACGGGAAGTGGATGTTGCAGGGGAAATCCGACGTCATAAAACAGCATAAGGATAATTACACGTTTCAACGGACAGTAAATGAAAAACGAGAAATAAAAAGCAACATTTCCTTCAGCAGAGTGGAGGTTATGCAGCCAACTAGCATGCTAATATCGCACCAGCAGTACTTTCTGGGTTGTGAATAATAAAATGCTTCAATGATTTTACAATATATCTGTACTGAGGAAAGACAATTTTAATTTTATTACATGAAATAAAACAGGTAGAGCCACTTTAAAGACAGTTTTGTACATGTTACTATAGGGTAATTCTACCTCAATTCACCCCAAAAAAATGCAATTTGAACCCTCACATTGTCCAGATGCAAAGAAATCTGGTGTATGGGTAAGTCATTAGCCTGATTCATCAGCTGGTTTCACTTCATGGAAACCGTATGACCTCGCAGCATTAGGATTCGTTCGCTCGACGGTAGACGGGTACTTTTTTTATTTAACCAATCGCTGCTATTTGGTCGTGATGTACGTAATGCGCAGCTAACGGGGCTAACTTGGCTTTTTCCAAATCCCGTAGAAAGAAGGGCAATAACATCTTTCTGCTTGATGAAATTCACCAAACATTCTCTTTATTCTGGCTTTAAATCCTCGAAATCGTTGCCAGCACAGAATGTATGGGTCTTCGCTGATTGGCCGGTGCCCGAACTTGCACTTCCGGGGTTTTTTTGAACCGTCTAGTGTATTTCGATCCCTGACCTAGTCGCTGGAGACAAATTAAATTGAGCGGATGCACTAGGTGGTGAGTCTGGCTAGTAAGTCATAGCCAAGAAAGCCCAAAATCTCACATTTTTGCAAGATCGGACCAACAGTTTCACCGATATTGCAATGACATTTTTTCATTTTTTTGCGTGGTTCAAATTGCATTTACTCAGCAACTACTGGTCCAATATCCAAAAATGAAGGTATCTCTGGAAAGGGGAAAGCATAAGGAATCTAAATTTTTGCATTTGAGTACATTTGATCTATGTTTTGACCTTGAAATTGACAATAAGGGACACCCCGACCTCAATGACAGCAACAGAAAAAAATTATATCTGGGTTTTCTTTTTTTGTTTTCACACAAATTTACCTAGAAGTTCACTTACCCCCATCTAAAGACATGCCAAATATCCATTCAGTGTATATAGCTATACATTTTTTTGGAAACTGTTTACAGATTTGGATTCCTTATGATTTCCCCTTTCCAGAGATACCTTTATTTTTGATATCAGACCAGTAGATGCTGAGTAAAATCTGAAATTCAGTGACTACGCAAAAAAGTTTAAAAATTAAACTGCGATATCTCGGAAACCATTGGTCTGATCAAACTAAAACGTGAATGTTTGGCTTTTCTGGCTATGATTTACCCATATACTAAGTTTCATCAAAATTTGACAAAGGGTTTAACTCATGTGGACTGACCCTACAGCCGTTTGACCTCATTACAAATTATTCAGCGTTCTTGGTTATATTTTGACTTTAACCTTATTTCTCTAAAGCACACACTTTCTACTTTACTGTGGATGTGTAGAATCACCCTTTGTGTCTCTGAAAACGGGTTTAATTTGAGCAGGGGATTAAATGAGCACAGCGTATCTACAGAGACGGGATTTTAATGGATAATCCTTTAAACCAGTTAGTCCTGTAATACATTTTTAAGACCCCAAAACAAAGCCCATCTGATGTCTAAACCTCTGCGCACATGAGAGCTAAAAAAGGTGACTACATTTAAAGATAAAATAATAAAGATTCTTACCGTGAGACTCGCGGCCTGCTCCTTGGCCAAAACCGCTGTCGTAAGACTGTAGAGACAGATGTTAACATTTACAGCATTTTTCATATTTAATTTAATTTTCATTTTTATTTAATTCTCACGACCATTGTATATGTTATGGAACACAAACACAGATATAAAACAGAACAATGAAATACTTTACTTATAAATAAAGGAAGGCCTTTTTCTAAAATCACAGAGTTTAAAGATTTTGGTATTTTGGAACAAAGAGATAAATTTGTGCATTGAAGAGAGTACAGCATGATGTTTAGGCAGATATGTGAAAAATCCCTCAGTCATCAGGTTGTTAGAGTGCGATGATTGTCACTCCATGTGTTGGGCACTAAATTGTTGTGCACAAGGTTACGTGCCGTTATAAAATATACGCGAAGCCTCACTATCCTGCATGTCAGAGCAGCCAGGCATTGTGGCTACCTGTTAAAAATGTTAGCATGTCTCCTCTCGCTGTCTTTGCTATCTTGGTGAGCTATCGGTGGTAAATCTGTAAGGCTGACCACACAGGCTGAGGGCACGGGCGAGGGTCCCTGTGAGAGCGACCAGCTGCAGAAGAATCAACACAGGTAGAATCCATAGCAAAGGAGAAAAAATTTCTCCTTTGCCATTTAGGCAGATACCTCTTTCTACATTCAGCAACTTAACCCAAAACATCCTCCATAGGTCTCCAGGAAGAACAGCTGAATAGCTCAATTAAATACAATCAATCAATTAATCTGCCCAGGGACAACAGGTAGAAATTAGCTCTGGTGCTACAACCTGGTGCAAAGTATCTCTGTTAAGGTTATTGTATATTGTGCACTGTCCCTGTCTCGTTAAATAAATAAATAACTATTCAAGCATGAGATATAATATAATGTAATCACCTGTGCAAAGACTATCACAAAACTAATATTTGATGTCACAGGAAGTCTGTCTGTCACACACATAGGAACATTTACACCAGGGATGGGTAGTGTAATAAATTGTATTCAACAGTAGAAAAAAGATGGGCAGATTATAATATTAATAATATTGTGAATGTTGTTTTGAAGATATATACTCAATATCTTTTTAAAAATAATTTATAATACAAACTGAGCCAATTAAAATGTAAATGGAAAAACCTTAAATACGGGTTTAAAGTGATATTTCTGCACTTTCAGAAAATCATCTCATCTCATCTCTAAGAAAATTGTCTGTTTTTTTCCCCATCCCAGTGTCTATTACCAAAGCATTATATTTATGTACGCAATTACAGGCCATACACCGTATCAGTATCAAAATCTAGGCCAAGAAAACCAAGGTCAGGGCTGCTTTTTGTCGAAGTTTACATTAAGGCGACTCATTTGACAGCTGGTTTCCTCCTGAGTGTTTAACATGTAATTTTATCAGAGAGAGAGTAAGCCGGTAGTATCAACCACACCCCAGCACACAACAATACAAAGTCATGTAATCAAACACGACAGACTAAAACACCGATCCCAAAATAGAGACAAGACACGAGAGGATCAGTCTTTCCCAGAACCAAAAGACGTCAAATGGCTAGTTTCACTTCCTTTTTAAGACTTTTTTGGTTGATGAAAGAAGAGGATTTATGTGAAGTTAATCTTTATAAATATTCAATTCCACAGCTACTTTTGATGTCCAATAATTTAGAATTAGGATTACAATGAAAAAAAAAAAGCATGTTTAAACAAAAAAATGGTAGCACAGACACCGTAATAACATGGTAATTTAATCTGTTCATCCTTTAAAATATGTACACATTCATGCTATGAGCGTGTTTTGTTTTGTCTTTTCCTGCACTAAAAACACAATTTGTATTTGTTAACTTTAAAGCAGACCTAACACCCAAACTCTGCCCACAACCACATTTCAGTGTCATCAGTTTAAAAGGTATCCACACTTCAAACTCTGTCCCTGCAGCCAGGTGTTTGTGATCAGAAAAACTGAAGAGACTGAAGGCAGGACAGACTTATAGAGTTAAGCATTTAGACCAGAATGCTGCAAAGTAGGGATGGGCATTTGATAAAATTTTCTTAATCGATCGTCGGGAGATTTCACGATCGATTTTTGATTAATCATTAACATTTTTTATATTACAATTATCATCATTATAATTACTATTACTAATCTGCATAAATAAACTCAACTTCACAACATATAAACCATAACCACTATAGAACCACATCAGCCCGTTTGACATTATAATGTGTTTAATGCAACTTTGACACATTTGTTTACATTTTACAGAAAGTAAACTTAAGACCGCATGGCTCATTTGCATAAACTGTAAGCGCTGAAAAAACAGCTCTTTGTGGGACTGTGAGGCTCCAGTGTTTGTGCTGTCAGACACAGCCTCGTCTCCTTATGCAACGCAGAGCAGCCTACATTCGGTTTGTCGATTAAAAATGAAAGTGATCGACAAAATTCTTAATGATCAATTATCGATTAGTCGACTAATCATGCCCATCCCTACTGCAAAGTTGCCAAAAAGTAGTACATTATGTTAGGAAAACACCATATACACAGTTAAACAGCAAAAAGTGGATTTGGTGTTTAGTGTCAATTTAAAAACTCACAGAATAGAAGTACTTCTGCTTGACAGATAAACATAAACACTTGGCACATTTCTAATATTTTGGACCTTTTATTGGCCAGTTTCTAAATTACAAAATATATATACAGTTTTGTTTTTCTGATATGCAATCCAAACTGAATGAGCTTTCTTTTTTGTTAGACCTTGGGATGGTTGACAATATTTATTTTTATTTTTTTTACGTTTTTTTAATAAGTCAGCAAGTACTTTATGTTATTTTATATGTATTTATCAGCAGGGCCAATATTTCTTGAAGGAAGTTTACGTTATATTGTTCATTTCACAGTAACTCACCAAACTCGTGCAATTTTTACTTTTTTGGAGTGCCTGGAGTTGGTTTGCGCTTTAGTTTTGATCCTTTTTCCAAGAGCACCCTCTACCTACTCCTACTAACAGCCACATTTTTGTTCTTTAAGTTTATTTTATATTGTTCATTTCACAGTAACTCACCAAACTGCTCCTAATGTACTCGATGGCTTTCTGAATGTCCATCCCAGACCAGTCGTCGAGCATGTAGCAAATACTGGCCGCACAGTAAATGAAGCGAATGTCATTTTCGCTTCCCTCAGGCACTGCGTAAAAACTGAAAAGACACAAAACACAATGGCTCCATTAACACAAGACTATAGATTATAAAACACTCTTTGTGAGATCATTTCTAGTCATTTCTTCCACAATACTCGAAATGGACACGGCATGTTTTATTCATTAAAGGGCAAATATTATGTAAAGTCCATGTTTATGAACTGTAAACCATGTTACCATTGTAACACTAAATCCATTTATCATTCGTTTATTCGTTTTTCAAAATAAAACCAAAAAATAAGAAAACAAAAAAACAACTATTTTCTTCATTATTTATCTCCAAAACCAAAATGAAAAAATGGATAACGAATCGTTTTTTAAGTTTTTCGATTTTGTGTTTACAGGAAAAATGGAAAAACTGTGATGCCGGACTAAACCAGGACGGAACCAGGACGGAACCAGGACGGAACCAGGACGGACCCAGGACTGAACCAGAACGGAACCAGGAGGGAAACTGGACGGAAACAGACCCTAATGAGGACTGAACGAGGATTGAATGAGGACTGAAATAGGACTGAACAAGGACGGAACCAGGACGGAACCAGGACTGAACCAGGTCTAAATCAGTTCTAAACCAAAATTGAACCAGGATGGAACCAGAACGGAACCAGAACTGAACCAAGTCTAAACCAGGTCTAAACCAGAACTGAACCAGAAATGAACCAGCAATGAACCAGGACTGAACCAGGACGGAACCAGGTCCAGGTATCAGTCCTGGTCCGGTCCCAGTCTCAGTCCTGACAGTCTACGCGGGCACATCTCTGGGCCAGCCCCGACACTCAGTCCTGGTTCAGTCCTGCCTCATTTCAGCATCACAGTTTAAGTCACGTAAACGGGAAATATCAGTTATCTGTTTTTTCCATTATTCATTTAAACACAAAAAACTAAAACTTAGAAAACTAATCATTATCCATTTTTTCATTTTGGTTTTGGAGACAAATAATGAAGAATTTTTTTTTTTTTTGTTGAATTATTTTTAGTTTTATTTGTCTCCATGGAGATTTTATTATTTTGACTATTGTTCCAGTACAGTACGCTTTTACATTTACTTATTTTTAATCAGAAACAGAACTTTTTAGACCAGTGTAGTTGTTTACTACACTGGTAGGGAGGGGAGGACACTATAGATCACCATTTTCACATCAGGACCTCGCAGGGGAGTCGACGGGGAGACAAACGGGTCTATTGTTCCAGGCCCCAGGGTCTTAAGGCCTAGAAATGAACTCTCTTCCTATTGATTTATATTAGAGGAGAGCCCATGTGAGGCTTCGTGCACAGGACTCCCAAATGTCTGTCAACTTGTGTGGAAACTTCAAAGAAGAGCAATAATAATAATTTAACAACCATACTAATCCATTGTTTTTTCACGTGAAATTACTTAAACTGAACGATTTGGTTATGTACCAAATTGTGCAAGTGATGAAGTAAATATTCAGCTACTTTTTGCGAAAGTGAAGACAACTATAACTTAAGAGGCTTTTTAAACTTTAAAGGGCCCATCTCATGCAAAATAACTCTTTTCACGTTGTATTTTCTCCACATATACAAGCACAATTTGGGTTTTGGAACATCCATTACACAATAGTTATGAAATCTTACTGATTTCTTGGAGGCGTCACAGACCAGGAACTATGAAAGACCGACTATTGAGACAGGCGTGCACCCTGATAGCGGTAGGAATAAACTTTTATTCATCATGGTGATACAGCGCGTTCAGCCGCATGTGTTGGACCTGGAATCGGACGAGGATTTTGAGGTGCACGAAGCTCAAGCACCGCATCGACATCAGCTGAACATTACTGATTGGTAAAGTATTAATAAACACTAGTAGATAAACTTATATCGTGTACACTGGTGCGGGTGCAAAGCATTTTCTGCTACGTCAAACGTGTCATAGGTGTATCTGCCGCGTCATCTTTGTAGCAGCTTTAGTTCATTGTCACGTGGGAGGGTGGCAGAAATACGCTGCAATTTGTTAAAAAAACGCCGACTCAATCTAAAAACCACTTCGGCGACATATACAAGGCCCACACATCACTCTTAGAAGGTAGAAAGCTCTGAAAAGTTCATTTTGCATGAGATGGGCCCTTTAAAGCGCCTTGTGCTCGAACAACAAAGAAGACTTTTGTATCTCTGTTTGCAGTGTCAAATTATGGAACAACATGAAAATAGAACTAAAACTTTGTCCAAATAGAAATGTATTCAAAAGTGCAGTTAAAATATAGTATATAGTATATAATGTGTATGTTGTTGTTGTTTGTTTTGTAGTGACATGCGTGTAATGTGTAATTATAGCGTACAATGAACAGGAAATGAGAAGTCTATTTGCTCTTTGTTAATCTGGGACAGTAGAAAAAAGGGATGGGGTTAAATAAGTATTTACTTACTCTTACTTCCTTTTCGGACACATCTAAAATCTGCATGACATTTATTTTTGTTCATTGTTATGGAAAAGAAGTCTTTGATTTTTGTATTATATCTATGCATATATGTTTTGTTCTATGCATTACTGTCCGAATAAACACTCATCATTCATTCAAACTTCAAATCTAGTCAAAACTGCTCAATACAAGTTAGTTATTCAGAATTTGTGTATTTTTAACTAACTAATAGTATTTCATGTTTTTCTTTACCTGCCGTCCTCCAGCTGTAGAACTCTGAGTCCGGCTAAAATCGCTTGTTTGTTCACTCGACTCAGATCATCTCCTAAAATCAAGAGTGAACAGAGACCTGTGTACGTCATGGCCACGTGTCCACTGTCGTATGGATGAGGCACTCCTGGACCCTAAAACACAAAATGTGCCCAAAATAAACATTAGATTATTAAAGTTGCGCTATGAAACCAACCACAGTGCACAATTTGTCAATATTTAAATTTTGCAGACTGTAAAAAAACATAACTTGCCTACCACACTCATTGGTAAATTAGGTTTATCAGATATTTTTCCTTGTTAATATTGAAGCATACCTTTGTGCTGTACGGTAACCCAATGTGTGAAGACCCTCGAAAACCACATTGACTTAGGTTAGACTCTGAAAGAAAGAAAGAAATAATTAGCACATGTTTTAAAACCTTATTTAAAACACCTCTAAAACACCTTTAATCCACACTTTAATTTCAGACAATGTACTAAAAGGTGCCTGTAATGTGTGGGTTGACATTAGGTTCCAAACGATATGGATTTTTTGCGGCCAGTATGATATCGATAAAATGGAAGTTGGAGCTGCCGATATAAAAGCAGATATATTTAGTGATAGGGGTGTAAGAAAGAAATCGATTCAGTGATATATCGTGATATTTCATTGCGCAATTCTCGAATCGATTCAAAATGCATCCGAATTGATTTTCTAAATAATATTTTCACAAAAATTCATTAGTTACATTCCCTGTTCTCATGATTAAAAAAAAGGCATTATAATTCATACAATTGTGTTCTCTTGAAAGTGTAGTTGACTCTATTATTAGAAGTAATTATTGATAAATCGCAATATATCATCCATTGATACAGTATCGGGATATATCGGGATATACTGAATTGTGAAATGCAAATCATGATATGTATCGTATCGTCAGACTCAAGGCAATACACACCCCTATTTAGTGATATAAAAATTTATTGTAAATCTTCAATTGATTATAAAACTTAGGTCTGGCTCTACTGGATTTTAAATTTGGTTTATTTAGTTGACATTTATTCTTATTCTGTCTCTTTAAAGTCATATTTAAAGACAGTAGGTCGACCTAATGGGATTTTTCCATCACATTCTAGCCTGTAACAAAAGTAAGTAAACTATCACTATCAGCGTTTAGCGGTAAATTTGTGTGCGCTGTAACTCATGATGTGTGTAAATACCGATCATTCACACCTCATAACATATCAATGCGCGTCCAGTAACGTTTGTACAGCCATTTTAACATATTTTCCACACTCCAGGGCACGCTCTTTAGCCTCTAACCCCAGCAAAAAACGACTGCGCACCCCACAATCCAGAGCGCCCTATACACGAATCCACTTGGGTGTCCCAGCACGACGGCGGCGAAAAACACCCGCAGACACACTCATCACTCCACGCCGACGAGGAACGGAACAGAGGAAGGAACAGAAAAAGCGAGTGCAATGTGCCACTTCTAGTCACTGCGAACACGCCGACAATGCAGCGGTCCCAGACAGCACCCTCCCTACACGCCACAACTGAACAAAGCCCAGAGTCACCGTGAACACCACAAACAAAGTCCCACTGACCCATCTAAAAGTTGTGTTTTGTTTCAAGTTCGGTGTGGTTTATTTGTGAAAAAAGTTTGAAAATAGACCATTTAATGACAGTGTGTCTTATAATCCAGAGCGCCTAATAGTGCAGAAAATACAAAAGTGACTTTATATTAGGCCAAAGTGAGAGAAAACAGGCTGTTTATGTGTGGCATATAGCAACTAAACACTAACCATTAAGAGAGAAAAGAAGTAGCTTCAAAACAGACACATTTTCAACACTCAGCACTTAAACAGGCTCCTCTCTGATCATAAGTCTTCACAAATAAGTCTGATCAGTCAGTATCATGGATCAGACATAAGAGCATTTAAAGCAGCGCCTCTGTGTTGTGCATGGATCTTGTAAACAAACACATGTGAGGGACTTGACTCTGGGGGTGCGTTCAGGGGCAGTACGACGTCACACACAGATAAATTACTCCACAGATAAATATTGATGCGGCTCCAATTACTAGGACATTTATCTGTCTGTAAATTGGATTAAATGGACATAATACAGAGAGTTTAAGCTTTATAACAAGGTATAATATGCACACATGGATATATCGGTCAGGCAGGCTAGTTGACATTTAAGAATCACACAGACAGTGAATGGACAGTAAAGCTAAATACAAAAGTGCAGAAAGGTAATTTTAGACCTGCAGTGTTTAATTAATTTGCTTATAATTTTTGGGCAAGTTTTAAATACATTTTCTAGTATAGACAACATCAACTCGATAATCTAGTTTTGGGTCATTCCACGCCAAATCTCCAAAAAAATTCTAGGAGGTTCACACACTTTCCAATAGATAAAGTCCAAAAATGTTTAGCTCCCAACTCCTTATAGTTTTGTCATTAAAAAACATTTTGTCAACTCTGCCCTGACCTGCTTTGAGAAGAGTTTTCCGAGGAACCACTTTTAGATTACTGCATCTAAAAAACAATTTAAGGCTGGTCTGTCAAATTTAATTTTCAAGGGTTAAAATTTGTCAAATGTACTTGTAGAATCTGGACTTTTATTATCTGGACATATTTCTAGGGAATTTTCGAGCAAATTCAAGCCTGTGGAAAGTGCAATGCCTTTTGCAAATCTCCAAACGCAACGATTTTGATGATATCTTACAATATCTTCTATGTAATTTAGACTGATGCTGCAATACCTCCTCAACTCTTGTGGACTAAGTTTAATTCTTGGTGTTCTGCTGCCCTCTAGTGGTGAAAATATGAACGTTTTTGCACTGGGTAAAGTAATGGCCAAAACGATCAGGGCACAGATAGAATGAGTCATGAGATTTATCCAACTTCAATTAGATAAAGAAAGGTTAAAACAGACATTTGTTTCTTTTAAAATATTACCAAACTAATATATAACATAGTCTTCAATGTATAGACTAGAATTTTAACTGCTCTTACCGCTACAACAGATTATTATTTATCTAAAAAACTATATAAACACACATAATAATCACTTTTCATTATCAAAATATGGGATCCACTATCTGAGAGTGAATGTGGTGTTTTAATTATTTACAGCCGGGCACAGGAGCAGATGGGGCAGAGTGCTTCGCTGGAGACTTTCAGACAAAAACATCATTAAATATTTAAACTGAATCATTTTGATAAGAACAAAAAGGTGACCTGACGCAACTTTAAAATATACTTTTTTTTTTTTAATTCAGAGTTTGGGATGAGTGGCGTTAAATACAAGTTTCAGTCAGAGGCTCGAGCTGGTTTGTTTATGTTTATGTTTATGTACGGAGACTATTCGGAAGTTCACTCCTCTTTCATTCAAAGTAGGACACTGGAGTATGAATAAGTGTGCTTTTGGAGCGGAGGAAATTGAGGCTATAATTAGGGGATGAGATGACACTCACTACGGATGAGATGAGGCACGATTTCCACAAAGACGAGCCAAGACGAGAGTTCAACTTTATTCCTAATATATAAAGTTCACGATTCAGCTTCCAATTTTTGCCTCACAATTATAAATTCATTTGTTTAAATATTTTTCTTTCCATTCTAGTTCTGCTTTTTGGAACTAAAAAGAGTTCTATAGTCCTGGTCTTTAGTCCTGGTGTAGGCTATAGTCCTGGTCTACAGTCCTGGTCTACAGTCCTGGCCTACAGTCCCGGTCTACAGTCCCGGTCTACAGTCCCGGTCTACAGTCCCGGTCTACAGTCCCGGTCTACAGTCCCGGTCTACAGTCCCGGTCTACAGTCCCAGTTTACAGGTCTAGAGTCCTGGTCTACAGTCCTGGTCTACAGTCCTGGTCTACAGTCCTGGTCTACAGTCCTGGTTTACAGTCCTGGTTACAGTCCTGGTTTAGTCTATAGTCCTGGTTTGGTCTATAGTCATGGTTTAGTCTACAGTCCTGGTCTAAAGTGCTGGTCTAGTACTCACCAACACATGACTCTTTTTGTCAACAATTTTTTATTCTCATGTTTGCACAATCTTGTGGCAAATTTGTCGCTTAATAAATATCGTACCGTGAGATGTACATCGTGAAAATATCGTACCGTGAGATTTGGATATTGTTACATTCCTGTTAGATACATTATCCGGTCAAAAGTTTGGACACACCTTCTAAATCAATGTTTTTCAATTTATTTTTACTACAAGGTACATTTTATATTCATACAGAAACAGAATACATCTAGCAAATGAAGCTAGATATATGGAATTACAATTAAAATTTAGAAAGTAGTAAACAAAGAAAAAAAAACACTGAATGAGAGGGTGTGTCCAAACTTTTGACTGGTAGTGTATATACAGTTTTTAGCCATCAGATGTACAGTAATCAGTGATAAATAATCAATAAATACTTACGATCTTCTGTAGGCAAAACCTGGTGTGAGTAAATCCATTCAATCATTGATTTTTTATCGATCACGTCCAGAGCGTCCAGAACATCCAGCCCGGACAGAGCGAAGAACACTATAGTCAACCTGCGTTCACATAAGAAATAGAAATAATATTAGACCCATTAGTGGGCATTTTATTTTACTGAAAAAAACTGTGATTCTTATTTGAATGATACATTTTATTAAATACAATAAATAAATAAATAAATATGTCACTTATTCTCATTAGTGATGATTAAAAGGTGATTAAAATAAGACAAAGCTACTTCTGGAGATTTATGACAATACAACAATAGTCTAATTTTCACCCTTAAAAGCTGAGCAAAAATTTATAAAACAAGTTATATATGCTTATAGTGTTATAACTAACATATAGAAGTAACTATTTTTTTAAAATCTTTATCGTATCTCACGGTACGCCATTTATTGCAATATTTTGGAGAGGCTTTTTTGCTTTTAAAATACCCTGACTGTGAACTATTTTCATCATAATCCCAAGAATTCAAGTAAAAACATATTTCTTCATGTTATCTGCACTGAAATGAATCATGGGATATGTAGTTCCCAATGTTTATTAGATATTAGTACTATGAAACAATGCATTTAAGCAAAGGATTTTGTAATTCGATATATTGTGACAGCCCACACTATTATTGTGAGACTTTTGACGATACGATATCACGATATTTCAGTTATTGTTACTGCCCTAGTCACCAGATGTCCCTATTTCACCACGGACAGTCCCAGTTTTGAGCCCTGTGTCCCCTGTCCCAGCAGATTTATCCAAAACCGCTGATTTGATCCAGTTTTATACAAAAATGTCCCAGGGGTAGGGGTGTAAGAAAATATCGATTCAGTGATATATCGCAATACTTCAGTGCACGATTCTTATATCGATCAAAATGTGTCTGAATCGATTTTTGAAAGTCAGGTTTTTCATGAAAAATTCATAAGTTCAATTTATTGTTCTCATGATTTAAAAATTAAATAAACTGTATTTGAGTAAATTTTGTTCTTGTGAATGCTACTTGATCAAAATATTATGCATAATTATTGATAAGTCACAATATATCGTCCTTTGTTTTAGGATATATCGAGATATACTGAATCGAGACAGGCATATTGTGATGCATATTGTATCGCCAGATTCATGGCAATGCACACCCCTACCCAGGTGTCCCCATTTTTGACCAATTTGATCCCTGCCAAGAGTAAAGAGAGGCATAAATTGTAATTTGTTTAGGTAAAATAGAGAAAAGCTGCTTAAAAATGACAAAAACACAAAGAAAATGTGACTATACTGGCTCATATGTTAAGAATGGGTGCATAACAATTTTACTTAATTATGCACTCGTTTCTCAGTTTTATTATTACCAACAACTCCAAACCGAGGATTTAGTTTATGAAGTTTATGATTAAAAATTTGTTCACGTTAAGGAGAATTATTATTATTCACTTTCACTGAAAACATCTGCTTTTGCACATTTAAACGAACACACTGACATTAAACCTCATATATACTATCCAGGCTGTATCATGGTTTACTACAGCCAGTTTTTAGGTAAATATAACATTTTTTTTATTTGTTTTATCCTGTGCGCAGCCTCCATTCACTCAGATGGGAGGCTACAAATAGCTCTGATGCTAGTGAGATTGTAGCATCATTTAAGATAAAATGGCGCAGATCGAAACGCGTGGCGCAAACGTACCTGGTGGTTTCTAATGAGGAGTATCTCTCGGGTAAAATCTGTAGCGTTCTCTGGAAGAATCGCACATGTCTGTCTCTTAAAAAGTCTATTTGTTCAAATTCTTCACACTGCTTCTCTTCTTCCGCCATCTTTGCATCCGCACCCTGGAAGTGTTTCCGGTGTGGTTGCCGTTTTTTAAAAAATAAAGGTTCAAAAAGTAAAAGCTCAAAACTTTTTATTTATTTATTTATTTACTTATTTATTTATTTTTTAATACTTCAGAACCCCAAATACAAACAAAAAGGCACCAGACTGAAACATAGCAAACCCCCCCATAAATAAATACATAATTATATTAATTATGAATTACAATTATTAAATAATAAATATATTATTATTATTGTTGTTGTTGTTAATAATAATAATAATAATAATAATAAGATACAATATCACAATATTTTGGTTATTGTTACATCTCTAATAATTAGACAGACAAAAAACATATTTCTTTATGTATTTATTTACACAATAATATAAATAACATTCAATATAACTACAGATTGACTGAATAATTATAAAGAAATAGTTTCGGTGACATCCAGTAGATTTCATAGTCCTTGTCTCCAAGTGGGCACAGCTCTGCAACAAATGAGAATATACGAAGGATGGATTTCACATGTAAAGAATAAGATGTACTGATAAACTAATATAACTGGTATGATTTGTAATGAAACACTAAACTCCAAATACATTTGAAGATATGGTAAACTTAATTAATCTCTGTGAGAGAAATTCATACTCTGCTTTTGACTTATCCTCCAGTACTCAGGAATCTCCAGAATCTCCAGAACTTGAACTAGTCTTGGTCAGGACTACCTTAGCTGGAGTATTACACCTACCGTATTTTCCGCACTATACAGCGCTCTGGATTATAAGGTGCACTGTCATTGAATGGTCTATTTTCAAACTTTATTCACATATAAACTGCACTGGACTATAAAGCGCATTAAACGAAACACCTGGCAGTTCAGTGATGATTCCGGTCTTGGTGAAAGCTCAGACCACAGTTGATACTGATACAGGTGTCCACGATCCGTTGGGAGTCGCTCGGCGCTGTCTCCCTGTCTTGGTGAATGTGTGTTCTCCTTCTCTCATACACTGCTCCCACGCAGCTCGCACTTTCACTTTATAACAGCCTTGAGTTTAAAGTTGGTGTTGTAAGCGTGTCTCGTGACAGGTGCATTTTGATATTAAAAGGAATCACAGTATGTATTACTCCGCGATGCTCCTGACTATGGGAGCCGTAATGCTGCAGGTGGTGCGGCTTTGTAGTTTACTAAAGTCGTACTAAGACACCCCAATAAAATCATATATAAGGCGCTCTGCATTCTAAGGCAAGCAGTCATTTTTTTAAATGAAATTAAAGGCTTTTAAGTGCGCCCTATAGTGCAGAAAAATACAGTGATGGGAGAAACAAGAGTGGCCTGGGGAAACCCACCCACACACAGGCAGAACATGCAAATTCCACACTGAAAGGCCTGCAACCTGAGACTTTCTTGTTGCGCGTTGCTCAGCCACGTGAAGCCACATTTATACAAACCAATTTTATTCCACTACATGAAAAAAGAAAAGTAGTTACGAGGCCTTTGTGGACGTCATTACCTGTGGTACATGTGTAGAACAGGCCCTGACCCTGATGGACCAATGTTTTTCATCCGTTCCTCCCATCCTTTAGTGGGACGGGTCAGTCTGGACGGGTCTCTGCTCACGTGACCCTCCACCTGTTTGACATTTAAAACAATTACTTTACTTTTTAAAACATGACAGAGACTTCAATCAATCAGTATTAAACTTGTGTGAAGTCATAATAAAAGACAATTTTTACCTTTTCCCGAAGCTTTGAAATGATTCTTCTCTGTCTGTCCTCCTCCTGTTGTTTCTGCATTTGTCTTTCATGAAACTTTGCCTCCACTTTAAGTAGGTCCTGCAGAAAAACATTAAAGCTGCGCATAAGAGTCTTCGCAAAATGACTACGGTACAAACATTTCTAGGCTCTGTGCACGTTCTCTAATTTGAAAGTGTCATAATCGTATTTATAGGTTAGACGAGGGGTGGGCAAACTTTTTCGACTCGTGGGCCACAAAGGATTCTAAAATTTGACAGAAGGGCCGGACCAGGAGCAGATGGATGGAGTTTTTTGGTAATCCACCTCATAAGAGAAAAAAATAACATGGGATAAGTAGAAAACATCTCCCATGTTATTGAAATATCCCATAATTGAAAATCATTACAACAAAATATCTGTCTTTCAAGTCCAACAGTGTTTACTATCTATAGAAATTACTTTTAAAACACTGGAAATTATTATTATTATTACTATTACTCAAGTTAACGGGACAGATTTAAAAGATATGGCTCCCGGGACGTAGACGTAGATAATGATAACAATTGAGAATTTAAAACAGTGTATTTTCTCATTTTGGCAAAAAGTCCTCATAATATTATCTGTAGCAGGAAGATGAAACATCCAAAATAACAAACTGTTTTTCCATTTCATTGTTTTTCGTTCTTAAGTGAAATTCAAAAGAACGAACAATACGCGGACCATAACCTATGATTATATAGCTTATTTCTCAGTGTATAACCCTCGTACCCTTTCGTTGAACTTCTTGATCCCCCTCGTAGCCTCTCTCCTCCTCTCCTCCGTCTCTCTCATTTCTTCCTCTCTCTTCCTCCTCTGCTCCTCCTCCTCTTCCTCTCTCTTCAGTCTGAGCTGCTCCTCTACAATCAGTTTCACTTCTAATTGACGACGACGTTCTTCCTGAGGGCGGGGGGAATATACATACAGTACATTTTAGAAACAGAATTTACTCTAAATAAACACATTTTTTTATGACAACCTTTCACCTTGGCTCGCTTCTGCCGTCTGATTTCCTCGGCCAGTCTCTGCTGCTCCTCCTCCTCCTCTCTCATCTGTTGTTCTTTCTTCCACTTCTCCAGCTGCAGCAACTTTTCCCTCTTTTCTTCTTCAGCTCTGATAAAAGATTTGAATGTAATTAACCCAGAGCTAATACAGTGAGTGTTACGAATAATAATAATGATGTCTTAATTCACTTTAATGCCATATTACGATTTATATTTTTGTTCTTTGTTATGATGTGTATTGTGATGTGTGAGCTGCTCTGTCCAGATCATTTCCCTCGTGGATCAGTAAAGTTAGTCTAAGTCTCAGTCTAATAATACACAATTCCCACAAGACGATATGAGACACAAGATAAAAACGACATTTTGACATAATCTGTAATCGATACTCAAGTTAGCCTTAAAGGGACAGTTTTAATTTTGGACATAGTGCCTCATTTCCTAGTGAGCCAGAGTGTTGGAGACGTGTGGAGACACTTTTTAAAAATATTCCGTCCAGTCCTTGTATTTGCAGAGGTCGCTGGTGCAAGGCTAGTGCATGTCAATGGCCATAGTTATCCTGCCACTAAAAACAGTCTTACCCACTCCACAAAACACCCAAAGCAAAACTATTATTACACTAGACTGTCAATGTAAATGTTTGTGTTGATAGAATAATGTTTGAAATAAAAATAACCTTACATCTCATCGAATTGTCGCATGTTGAGGGACTATTTTCTCATATATCAGTCCGCCGCTGCCAAACTTTCTATCAGGAAGTAAAACTCTCTGCTACTGCTCAGACATAAATCCTTCAAATGCAAGGTTGGTTTTACTTCTAAAATTATTCTATTGACACAAACATTCACATCGACAGTCTGGTGTAATAATAGATTTGCTTCGGGTGTTTTGTGGAGTGGGTAAGACTGTTTTTAGTGGCAGGATAACTATGGCCATTGACATGCACTAGCCTAGCACCAGCGACCTCTACAAATACAAGGACTGGATGGAATATTTTTAAAAAGTGTCTCCACACGTCTCCAACACTCTGGCTCACTAGGAAATGAGGCCCTATGTCCAAAATTCCGGACTGTCCCTTTAATCTGTCAGCTCTTTTAACACAATCAGACAGTTAAAGAAGTCTTTCTCAAATAACATTACAGTCACAGGCTAGAGTCAATTTGGTCTAAAATAAGATCTTTAATAGTTTCGTTCTCACTTCTGCCTCTGGGCTTGGATGATGGCTGTTTTCTCTTTTCGTTTGACCTTGTCTGTCTCCTCTTGGCTCTGCATCCTGCTCTCACGCTCCATTTGCCGACTCGTCTTCCATCTTTGGATCGCCTGAAGATGTTGCGTACAAAATTGGAAAGCATTTTCACAGTCAATAAATACATACACAACAACAATGCACTGCAATCTCTTTTAATATGTGCTTTTCTAACTTTGATTTAAGTCGATCGTTTTACTTCAAGATTGAACAGGCAGAAGATATGACATACGTATAGATAATTCCATAACTGTAAACAAAAGCCTAAACTTGTGTAAAATGCACAATAGTTATGATTAGACTAATAAAAAAACTGAGAACAGCTTTATTTTGTTAAATGCAAATTGTCTCTGCATTTTGACAGAGGTAGAGGTGTCCCGTTCCAGGACTATAACTAGGTCTAAACCAGGACTAAATCAGGTCTAAACCAGGACTAAACTAGGTCTAAACCAGAACTATACCAGGAATAAACCAGGAATAAACTAGGTCTAAACCAGGAATAAACCAGGACTAAACCAGGTCTAAACCAGGACTAAACTAGGTCTAAACCAGGAATAAACCAGGACTAAACCAGGTCTAAACCAGGTATAAACCAGGAATAAACCAGGACTAAACCAGGGGTAAACCAGATGTAAACCAGGACTACACCAGGACTAAACCAGGACTAAACCAGGACTAAACCAGGTCTAAACCAGGTCTAAACCAGGAATAAACCAGGACTAAACCAGGACTACACCAGGAATAAACCAGGTGTAAACCAGATGTAAACCAGGTCTAAACCAGGTCTAAACCAGAACTAAACCAGGAATAAACCAGGTGTAAACCAGATGTAAACCAGGACTACACCAGGACTAAACCAGGTCTAAACTACACTACATTACAGTTCAGATCTGTGGAGAGTTGCCCCTATTCACAGAAGAAATTATTGTGTTTTTGAGCAATAAAAACATCTGTAGAATAAACGCTAGAAGAAGAATAAACGCTAGATGGATACAGTTAATGTCCTGCCATGGAACATTCCAGACAAAACTCTTTCACTTGCCTCTTTCTTCTTGTCCTGCAGGTGGATCAGTTCTTTGTACCATTCCTCATGTTCTTCTATCTCCTCCTCTGTTTTACTGGGCAGGTACAGCTTCGCCTCTTTCCTGTACGCCGGCTGACCACGAAACTTTGTCCACACCTGTGAGGTAAAGTATATTTTACTGTTCCGGGAAGAAAACTGTCCTCTGCATTTGACCTTTCCTCCAAAGTCGCTGGGGACACCTGATCGAGGGACCCATCTCCAGATTTTGAGCTCGTTTTAGTCGGGAAAATTAGTCCACTGTACATGTTTGGGTATTGATAAACAAAACTAGTGACATTTGTACAACATCAGAAAGACCATACAAACTCTACTTCACACCCCTGTAATATTAACTTAATGTGTAAGTTTTTTGGAGGAGTTCGGTCACCTGCTTGTGGAGCCGTTATTGTTTTTCACAATTTGTCATCACATTTGTATATATCATGTATTTATTCAGTTACAGGAGTTTTGGGAGGTTTTTTTTGCTCACATATACCTTGTTAAAACATATATTTTTAAAGTGAGCAGAGTTGCCTCTCCACAGAGCATGGCCTGGTGGTCACCCGATTGTATCCATGGAAAGAAATAGGTTTGAGGAATACTGTGGACCAGGGTGCCCACACTTTTTCATCATGTGAGCTACTGCACTTTTTTTTTAAATGACCAAGTTAAATTGATCAACCTACTACAAAGCCAAGCAAACTGTACTGCACTTCAACACTCTACGCCCCTTTTTTGGACCCTTATCCACATCTTGAGAACCCCTTCTTTAAAAGAACTTTCACTAGCACTTTAAAGAAAACTGAAAAAAGTGAAGAAAGTGGGTAGGATTTTAAACGTGTTTTTTCAAGTTCCTAACTGGAGTTGCATTCTCTTACTGGTTTTGCAATGATATTTACCAGCCTCTGCACATTTACCAAACGCACACTGTGACAAACACAGATGCATTTGTGCACTTTTATTTGGCAAACTTCAACCACATGCTGCTGCTCTGTGCTGTAGGCTCCTCTATGCCAACACTGTAACATAAATTTAGATTAGTTTCTGCTTCGCATTTCGTCTTGCTTTTCTAATCAGCTCACATAAAGGAGGAAGCCTGTGTGCCCTGTACGCAGGGAGGACTGACAGCACGAAAAGGAAAAACAACAAAGCAATAACAACATTATGAAGACAAGAATACTGCAGATCAGGAACGGACTGGGACCAAAAAACAGCCGTGGACTTTCCCCCACAAATAGGCCTACCATGGGTATAATTAATAATCAATAATTTCAATAAATCAATAATGAAATAACTGAAGAAAACACACTTCTGATTGTTTACTAACAAAAACACCTAAATCATTTCATTTCCAAGTGACTTAGGTTTTCTGTCTTTAACCTTCTCCCATCCACCTTTCATCTTACGTTTTCAGTTCGACATCTTTGTGTTGAAACCGAGTAACCCACTCTTTTGTCCATAAGAAATGTTACATAGTGCATCTTTAAATGTACTGTTATTATTACCTTTAGAAAAGCCTGGTGGTCAAACTGATCCCAGCCTCCACTGGAGCCTCCGGTTCTGTTCAGGTACAACTCCAGAGCTCTCACTTCAGAGGGGAGGTCTCGGTCCTGAAGTCTGGTCTAATGGACAGATTTGAGACATTAAAGTAAGAAATCTTTTGATGTTTAAAAAAAAAAGTATTACAAAATATAAAATTAACTTCAGATATCCCAAACCTGACCAGAATAAAATACTAAAAACTGATATTGATATTTTATTTTTAATTTATTTAACAAGACAGTGACAGCGCACAATATAAATTAACCTTAACAGGAGAGATGCATTGTACCAGGCTGAATATTGATATTTTAAATGGCAGAAATTGAGCACATAGACACACTGCTACACAAAAAAAGCAGTTTAGATTTACATTTGTTGCAAAAACACTGGCTGTGGTTACATGCACACTCAAAATCTGGAGCCAAAAGATTATTCAAATGAAATATAAAGAGTTACATCCTCTCATTTTGTTCTGATCACAGCCCCTCTGATTACTCACATTAAATTGTACAGTTTGCATGACATTTAAGTATTCTAGAGATCGAATATTAATCAGATTTGTGTGAGCTTGTAACAGGCATTGACAGACAGACTGTACCTTTGAAATGGTTGACGTCTGGGGTCTGCTCTCTGTTCTAACACTAACACTCCAGTTTTCAATTTTCTTCTCATAAGCAGTGATCTCTTGTCTGTAAGCCCTCTCCTCTTTTAGAAGTTCTTCAAATCTATTAAAAAAAAAGGATTTATAAAAAATACTGATGTAGGTTTTGTTTCTTTACTCGAGTCTTACTTACTTGTTTCGCTGTTCTTCCTTTAGACTGCTGATTGAACTTTCCACTTCAGACATGATTTCTTTCAATTTTTCTATCACTAAAAACAAAATCAACATCAAGGTTCAGATCACAGTGCACATTTAGACCAGTCCCAGAGGCAAATTAAAGATGTATTATGTCAACTTTTTTAGAAAAGTGTCCGCTACTTGTTACTGTCTACTTGTTATTGTTACAAGTATGATTTTTCTTCTAGTCATTGCATTAAACTAGTGCAGGGGTGTCAAACTCTAATTCACAGAGGGTCAAAATTAAAAACTGGGACTAAGTCATGGGTCAAAATAAATATTTACTGAACATTTTCAACAACCTCCGCATGTTTTCTCTTCTTTCGAGATATGTAATGTTAAACCTTTTCTTATTAAAATAAATGTTTAATAATAGTTTTGCTTAAACATTGAATACAGAACAAGCAAAACATAAAATAATCACAAAATTTTTAATAAATAATGTCTGCAGCCGGTAGGCAGCTCTAATACATATTTTATATGATCTCATGGTCCAAATATAATTATATCGTGGGCCAATTTTGGCTCCCGGGCCTGAGTTTGACATGTCTGAATTAGTCCCTTTTATACTCACACTCAGGAGTTGGTTTCACGTCTGTCAGCTGCAACTGGAATTTTCGGACACCATTTTGGATCTTTAACAACTTCTTTTTAAAATTTGCCTCTAGATGAAACAGAAAAAGATGTTACAAACAAACAGGCTTTTTATATTCATTAAACATAAACAAAAAACATATTATATATAATGTGTTACATTTAATAATTCTACAATATGCAATGTCGAATAGTAGAATGTATTAAACTATGTAGTTTTAGCAAAATAATATTTTGAGTTTAGATTTTTTTTTTCATTCACAGATATTTTTGAAAACCTTCAGTAGTCTCCCTCTGGCGTGTCTGTCAGATACCAACTTTCTGTTTTTCTCTCTCCATCCAGGACTTTCTCGTATTCTTCCACTTCTGCACAAACATCTGTCCATCCACTTTTTCTGCACTGAGCAACGAGAGGTCGCTCTTTCTGCAGCTTCTCGATTCTGTGGACATAAAGAAAAAACATGAAACTTGAGCTACAAAACCACCTGTAATTGAAGAAATTTAAGTTAGACCTGTATGCTGTGGAGCCTTTAACTTTCATTTTAAACCACAATATTGATCTAAAACAGGTCAAGTAAGTGGAGTCTATGTGTTTCCTTTAAATAATATACAATTTAATATTTTCTTCATAAACAAAGCACAAAATGAATGATAAAAATGAACAGTAACAAAACAGTGATGATGACAATAACACATTTTACAGGCAATACTGGGTTTGTTGCCTGTATGAGTTATACATTTTCACGGTACTTATCAATCAAATGCTTCAACCAAACTCCTCCGGATTAAACTATGATTTCAGCAGCTTTTTTTTTTTTTTTTATAATAATAATAATAATAATAATAATAATAATAATAATAATAATCAGTAGCTACTTTTAGCCCAAGTCAAACTGCTCTTTCACCCACACTCACAGCCTTCTGTTGCTCTCGGCCTCCCTCAGAAACTCTGCAGTTTTCTGTTTAGCCTTTTTGTCGTCCACATAATGTTGAGTCGGGGCTGAAACGGACGTGTGTGGTTTTATGTTTTCACCAGCCTGTTCAGAAAAAAAAGGATATGATAAATAGATAGAATAGATAGTTTTGAATACTCTAGTCAGTGGTTCTCTAACTGTCAATTTAGTCCACATTTCTGTCACCCTTTGGTTTAGACCTTGTTTAGAACTATTATATACAGCACGTGTAGTCCTTTTTAGTCCTGGTTTAGCCCTAGTTTAGACTTAGAATAGTCCATTTTTAGACCTACCAAGTAAGATGAACTCAACTCTTAAAATAAAGGTTACTACCAGAGGTGGGACCAAGTCATTGTTTTGCGAGTCTCAAGTAAGTCTCAAGTCTTTGACCTCAAGTCCGAGTCAAGTCCCAAGTCAAATACAGGCAAGTCCAAGTCGAGTCTCAAGTCACTGGCCCATAAGTCCAAGTCAAGTCCAAGTCATCTGCTTTGAGCTTCAAGTCATGTCAAGTCTTTAAACCAAAGAAGTACCAAATATAGTTTAGATTTTTGCAATTTATATGAATTTTAAACTTTGCATGTTTCTCCCCGTGTCTAGATGGGTTTCCTCCAGGAACCCTGGTTTCCCCCCATCAACCCAAAACAAGCTACATAGGTCTCCAAGAAGAACAGTTGATAGCCAAAGTCAATTAAATACAATCAATCAATGAACCTGCCCAGGGATGACAGGTGGAAATTAGCACTGGTGCTACAACCTGATGTAGAATGCAGCTCTCCTGTTAAGGTTAATGTAAAAATTGTGCACTGTCCCTGTCTCATTAAATAAATAAACACAATAAACGTGAAATAAATGAAAAATAAATTGTACTTAAAAGTTATGGTATATTTATATATGAGTATTTAAGAATTGCAGAAATGCAAATTTTTCCTTTTTAAATGTCTTGACAAGATCTTTGTGTGAATCATTACAATCAGAACAGAATGAATTCAGATTTAAAAGTGCTTAATAACTCTTATTTTGTCGTGTAGTTCTTTGTAGTTCCCTCTGTTTTACTGTATTGTACTATAGATTACTGTATAATACTGTGTATTAATGTAGTACATTTTAGGATACCATATCACAGTACTGCATTTATCAACTGTAAACAAAAAAGAATATTTTTTTTAGGAGAAGCATCAAGTCTTCTCGAGTCACAGGCCTCATGTCTGAGTCAAGTCCCAAGTCACAAACCTTCAAGTCCAAGTAGAGTATCAAGTCTTAGTCCATTTTATCAAGTCAAGTCTTAAGTCCTAAAAATAGTGACTCAAGTCTGACTCGAGTCCAACTCATAACTTGCAAGTCCTCACCTCTGGTTATTACATATTTCAGATTTGAGGAATTGACTGATTAGTTGGCACAGTTTCACAACATGAGTTTAATGAATGAAAACTAAAGTACTCTTAACTTGTGTGCCTGGTTAGATGAAAGAGGAATTTACTTTACACTTATTACAAGAATGATTAGATTCACAATTTCAAGGCAATCAGAGCTCTACTTATTAGATTTTACAGTGTATAATTTGTCATCCTTTGCATCTTTTACGTAATTATTTGAGAACTTTGCGTAAAAAATGAAGATTAAAGTGCTACTTCTTTTCGAGTTTACCACAATACACTTTACAATGCTAGGCTAGCTCTCGTATAATAATTCAACTTTTTTTTCGTAATTGGCTCGAAATTCAACATTCTGTTCTTTTTTTCCCGCCGATACACGCACTAAATGACTAAAACATCAACTTTAATAGCCAAATCATGAATAGAAACAGGTTTGTAGGTGAAATAAAATCTTACACGTACCGCGCCGTGATGTTGCGTACCTTGCGTCGTTGCTAGGGCCGCCATTTTTACCGTAACTATAAACAAAAGTGAACGCGATATTTTAGGGTGTGATTGTGAACACGGCCAGCAGAGGGCGGTGTTAAATGGGAAAATAACAGGCAAGGCTGAAATAATGAAATATTTACCTAATTTAAATCCACTTTACGTCCCTATTTTCAATGTATTTAAATATCTTGGTCTTGTTTTAGATTCTCAATATAATTTTAACTCACATTTAAATTTAGTTATAAAGAAAGTGTCTACCAATACTCGACTACGCAAACATAATTTATCAGAACACCTCAACTTCTAATTAAATCTTCAATTGTTAGATGTTATTTATAATAGTATGTGTAGGTTTGTGTTAAAATGTCATCCAGAAGACAGCTACACTTTACAATTTGTGTTTAAATGTTATTACTCAAAGTTCCCAGGTTACTTAAAAGAGTTTCTTTCTTTCATTTTTTTTTTTTTTAATGGATCATTTGCAGCAAACAAAAACAAAACATAAACCAAGACTACATGGGTCATGACAGGAAGAGTCCGAGCTGAAACAAAAGGCACCAAACGCATGCACAACAAGTTTGCATTCACAATTCCACTCACTGTACATATAAATAAACAAAATATAAATTAAACAAACAAAACTCAATGCACAATTCATCAACTCCAAAGCTCCATATTTTCCAAAACACAACAGTCTACTCTATACTCTTTTTAAAAGGTTTCTACAGTGTTGGACTGTTTAAAGTCATTGCGCCGAATATTTTACAAACCAAAATCTCTACCAGAAAGTTCTTTCTTCCTCGTTTTTATTTTATTTTATTTATTTTTTTATTTTCCCTCGTTTATGGTCGTGCAAACTAATAATATTGTTAACAAAGGGACAAAAGTTTATCGTTTATGATCAAAGAGTTTCTAATTCCATTTAGATCAGGATATAATTTACGTCACACTGAACAACAATTTTTTAATGTTCCTACTATAAAAAAAGAGCATTTAACTTCAAAGTCCCAAATGAATGGAACAACTTGCCCTCCTCAATCTGATCAATCACAACAATCCACCTGTTTAAGGCGTCAGTCTTCAGATAAAAACAAACATCCTGCTCCTGTTTTCCATAAAAATACATTTTTGTTTTATTTACTTTCTGTTGTACATAGAGTTGCTTTTTTCAATCCAGTCCAACTTTATCTGTATAGCACATATCATAAACAAGACAGTTTCCAAAGTGCTTTACATAGCAATATCAAACAGTTTACTTAAAATAAATAAATAAATACATACAAAAAATAAATAAATAAATAAATACATAGATGAATAAATAAATAAATACATAGATAAATAAATTGATAAATAAATAAAAATGTGTAGAATTATGTACAAAACATGAGGAAACTAATAGAATCATTGTAGAAAATAAATAATAATAATAATAAAATCAATAAACAAAAATAATAAAATCAATACATAAAGCAGTACTAAAAAAATACATAAAAACAATAAAAACAATAAAAAATGTCTTCAATAATTTACAAATATAGGTGTGAGGATGATAAAATCAGAGAGATGTTTATCTTAGGATCCTGTTTTGTATAGTGTGTTTGTTGTCTTTGTGTTGTTTGTCTTTTGTTTTGTTTTATTCTTTCTTTTCTGTAGATGCTATTTTTGTCACATCTCAAGGAGCTTCCCTTATAAAGAAAATAAATAAATAAATGTAAATAAATATATGTTAAAAGAATATATTCATTTCAAATTGATGATGCCCTGGTTTAACATAAAAATAATAATAAAGGTAACTTTTTTCATGCATTTATTTACAGTAAAACTTTGTATAGTTACTTAAATACAAAAATACAATACAAAATAATATTACTCAAGTACAAGAAAAAAGGTGTGATAAATCAGCTACACTCAGACGTACTATTTCCTTTAAAAGTAAGTTAAAGTAATGTATTTATTCCAGTGAAATGAAGTTGTAAGAGTGAAGAGCAGAGAGCTGTTCGGTGCAGAACGTTTCCCAGAGCATATCACACTCTCTCAGATATCTTTGTTATCTGCCAAGGCCAAAGTTATTCCTGTAACAACAATCCAACAGCAACAGCCTGCCTATAATTACGAACAGAGAGAGTGAGAGACAGAAGAGGAGGAGAAGAGGAGGAGATATTAAAATAAATGAGATTCTGAGTCGATTATTGAGAACAGAGATTAGGAATTAACAGATTTACAGCCTCTATTGTCAGTTTAAAAACAAATGTGACAAAAGCAACACGAGACACAAACGTTTTTTTTTGTTTTTTTTTAAAGATGTTTACTTTTCATTCAGCTGTCTGCCTTCTGCTTGTCTCCGTGGAGGTGTTGCATTGGAATCTGGAATGTTCCACAGCATGGCATTAAACTTAGATAAACATTATTGATCCACAAGGGAAAATATTTGGACACAGCAGCTCACACATCACAAAATAATATAATAATAAAGAGTAAAAAATTATAAATTGTAATAAAAAATTCTTAAGAAGTAGCAAAAAAATGGTAAGAGACAGGTGTGGAATAAGGCATAATTATATAAATGTAAATGCACAAGT